CTCTCTATCTCACACACACACACACACACGTAAATCTATGGGTTGCATTTGTATTTGCAGATATATTCTATTTTATTCAAAAAGCACACAGTTTATAGAAAGTCAGTCAGTCAATGTGGCGTTTTATAAATTTCTACTTTAAAAATAAAACCAGTTTGACTCCAAACCAAAACACAAACAGATGCTAAACAAGGTCTCACACCTAACATGCAGTGTCTGACCTAAAATGTCATCTTTTCTTTACACTGGTAAAACCTTTCCGTCTCTCAGGACTGTGACTTGAAAGAAATTCAGGGATTTACATTTACATATTAATCAATGAAGACCTTCTAACCAATTAGTGATTTAACAGCATCTTAGGTTTGTTTAATACATCCTTATCTGTGTTGTGAACATTTGATCTTTTACTTATAAATTGTGTCTGATACTCCCTCTCTCACTAACACCTGAAGAAGGAGCAAGGCTCCAAAAGCTTGTGTTTTCAAATAAACCTGTTGGGCTATAACTTGGCCTTGTGTGATTTCTGACCTAATGTATTTTATAATTTCACCCCTGTCTGCATTGAGATCTTGACATTTCACATAGCTACGTTATTTACTCTTAATCTGCTCTGGTAGTTCTTTCAAAATTTGGGGCGTCCCACCCACTCCTCCTTTCAGGAACAAACTTTTTGAATCCCTCCGTATCACCCCCTTCAATGCCTACCATTGCTGTAACACTGATTTATCCTCAAGTAGCTGTTTTGAGTTCACATTCGCCAAATCACATTCCAGCTTTGTAAAATTGGCCTTTCCTCAATTTAAAACTTTGACTTTTAGTCCATCATTAACCATTTCTATTATTATTCTAACTCTTCCAAAGCTGCAATTGCTATCACTAAAATGCTTCCACACTGATGGGCTCGCTACGTGCTGGCTAAAAAAAATTATGCGCCCTTGGTAACTTTTACATAGACTTTATTCCAGTTACTATTTAGGTAATTGAAATCTTCTATTGCCACCCTTTTGATTCTCACTTTTTAGCAATTTGACTACATATTTGCTCTTCTATTTTCCTTTGATTGAAAACCTGGATCCTTTTACGCTACCACTTCATCTAGATTGTTATATAAAGATTGTGTAACTTTTGTATTCTCCTGACCAAAATGCTTCAACTATCAATAGGGAAATCTTTTTTTTAATTCCCTGCTGATCGATCCCTAGTTCCATTTACCAAAAGCTATGAGGACCTTTTCTTCCCTTAACAATAGTTGATTTTTGCTTCTGTGCTCCTAGTACATGCAAATACCTACCCTCCTGATTCCTTCCTGATCTCTTCAAAATAGGTATAAATTATCACCTACCTGTCTTTTCCCTCTTCTCTCTCCTTTCTTCAGATGTTCGTAGAATCATAGAATCCCTAGAGTGTGGAAGCAGGCCAGTCAAGTCCATACTGACCCTCCTAAGAGCATCCCACCCAGATCCACACTTTATCCTATCCCTGTAATCCTGCATTTCCTGTGGCTAATCCACTAGGCCTGCACATTTCTGGACACTATGAGGCAATTTAGCATGGCCAATCCACCTTAACCTGCAAATCTTCGGATTGTGGAAGGGAACCAGAGCACCCGGAGGAAACCCACGCAGACACGGGGAGAATGTGCAAACTCCACACAGACAGTCGTCCAAGGGTGGGATCAAACCCGGGTCCCTGGTGCTATGAGGCAGTAGTACTAACCATGCTGTCCACCGTGCTGCCCGACATGGGTAGGAAGATATTAGTTTGAGGTTTTTGGGAAAGATATTAGTTAACGAGATGATGGTGGAAGAATATTAATTAATGAAACAATGGTGTGGGGATATTAGTTCATGAGATGGTGGTGGGGAGATATTGGTTGATATGATGGTGGGAAATATTGGTTAATGAAATAGTGGTGAGGAGATATAAGTTAATGAGACAATGGATAGGGAGTTTTTGAAGTTTCAGTTAATTTCCATAAACTACAAACATTCAAACTCCAGCCATGCCCCCTCACATCGCTGTTTCAGCTGACCGTTTTGACTTAGTGAATTAGGACCACATCAACTGACAGTTGGCACAAACCACAATGGCATAATTTGCAAATCAGACATAACTTTACCTGTCTGCAGGATCTCCTGGCAGCTAGAGTCGTAATCATTGCGCTAGCCCATCCTCTTGGTAACACCGGATGGCAGCAATGCACCTGCAAATGAATGAATGATGATTTATTGTCAATTGTACTCTACAATGGACCGTAAAATACAATGAAAAGCCCTGTAAAAGGAATCATCATGGTTCAACTCTGTCCTATTGGTTACAAACAGTACTGGATACAAACAGCACCACAACATTTGACAGAGACAGCCAGCTACACAGACATTGTAGAAGCCAGAAGTATGTCCGACCACAGCGACTCACTGTCTTTTATAGAAAGCTAGAGAGAAAAAACACTCACAAGATAAGTTCAAGGAATTCGGACTCAGGCTGTACTCCAGTTAAAGCCTTATTACCTTGTGTGTGCTTATAAATGATGGTTGACCTCTTCAGTTAGCTGTAACACACAAACTTCATAGATTTTTACAGCTCCTTGCTACTGTACAAGTCTAATACGGTGGTAAAATTGAATACTTTTCACACCTCTGCTCTCTGAATGAACAGCACACAATAGGCCTCACTGTGTCACTTCACTGTAGCACAGACAACAAAGACAGCCCTAAACAAGGAAGCAGCAAATTAAAGTGACAGCGAACTTCCTTATCAAAAAAAAACGCCAACTCATTCTACTTAGCCAGGAACCCAGAGCTTGGATGACACATTTCGTGATTGTGCAACAGGAAATACAAGCAGGAAGCGAACAGTGCAGGCTGGTCTGTAAATTAATCCAATCCCAGTTTAGTTTAAACAAACTGCAAACTGATCCCATTACCACAGACAGGAGTTTCCCAGGCTCCACATTAGTTTTTCTCAGTGCAATGAGCATAGGTGCCCGATGCTGCTAGGCTGTAGTACAAATCAGACATGGGCTGTAACGGGACTGTAGTGAACCTGACTCAAAGGGTGAAAAATCCCTAATTCAAAAGCAGCCTAAAGAACTTTGATTTCTGAAGAAGGGCCTAGGCCCGAAACGTCAGCCTTCCTGCTCCTCTGATGCTGCTTGGCCTGCTGTGTTCATCCAGCTCTACACCTTGTTATCTCTATTTAAAGAACTTTGTAAGCAGCTGCCCTCATTCATCCATTTCATTTATCAGTGCTAGCTCTTGAACCGTTGCTGACCACTGACTTTCCTGACCTTTTGCTGTTCCTTATTTATTGTATGCTTGATGTTCCCGTAGAATTACAGAGGGAGTAACAACATAGAAGCAGACTATTTTACTCAAATGGTCAATTGTAGTGTCTGTGCTTCACATAAAATTCTACCCACCTCTCCTTCTTACAAATTCTCTAAACAGTGGGGATTAACTTTCACTGTCTACTCGTTCAAAACTGCTCAGGGTTTTAAGACATAAAGTACTGTGTGGTCTCATCTTCTGCTGACATTTTGATGTTCTGGCAGTTTTCTTGCCCTTTCAAACACTCAATAAAAACCAGTTCCATGCACCAGGCCAGCAACAGCCAAAGAGACAGTCTTTAAAGAGCAATATAAAGGCAGAGAGAGAGGCAAAGTGATATAGGGAGAGAATTACAGAGCCGAAGGTCCAAGGGGATGTATGGTAAATGCACCAAAGCACCTACTAATTATTTGGCGGAAACAGAAAACCCGCTACAATCTCAACCCCCAATCGCTCTCAGCATTGCCAAACTCAGCTACACCAATAAGCGTACAGCCTCAGTAAAATGAGAGAGCTGATTATTGACTTCAGGAAGTGGAGGGCATTCCCCTGTCTGCATCAGTGATGCTAAAGTGGAGATGGTCGAGAACGTCAAGTTCCTAGGAGTGATGACCACCACCACGTCGACATGACAGTCAAGAAAGCACAACAACACCTCTACTTCCTCAGGAAATTCAGCACGTCCACAAAGACTCTTACCAATTTTTATATATGCACCATAGAAAGCAGCCTATCTGGATGCATCCCAATATGGTATAGCAACTGCTCTTCCTAAGACCACAAGAAACTATAGAGAGTCATGAACACAGCCCAGTCCGGCATGCAAACCAGCTTTCCATCCATTGTCTCCATCCATACTGCCTCAGGAAAGCAACCAACATAATCAAAGATCCCTCCCACACTGGTCATAGTTTCTTCCATCCTCTTCCATTGGGCAGAAGATATACAACTTTGAAAACATATATGAACTGATTCAATAACAGCTGTCATCAGACTTTTGAACGGACCTCTCAAATGGTAATTCTGATCCCTCTCTGTGCCTTTCTACTGCTGTAACACTGCACCCTGCACTCTGTTCTGCATTGTATGGTACAATGCACTTTGTATGGTACAATATGGTACATGTGACAACAATAAATCAAACTCAAATTCAGATTTTCAAATCAGGAGAACAACCTTATAAGGACCGAAAGAACTGCAGATACCGTAAATCAGGGACAAAAACAGAAGTTGCAGGAAAAGCTCAGCAGGTCTGGCAGCATCTGTGAAGAAAAAAACAAAGTTAGCGTTTCAGGTCCGGTGAGGAAGAGTTCTGAGGAGGGGTCACCGACCCAAAACGTTAACTCTTATTTTTTTCTTCACAAATGCTGCCAGACCTGCTGAACTTTTCCGGCAACTTCTGTTTTTGAACCTTACAAGGACTACAGATTTCTCTCATACCTACCTACATAATTATAGTCATTTCCAAAGCCTATTTGAGGTCTTCTTTATGTGGTTACTCACCAGGGTTCAGAAACATGTTCTATCCTAATCAGGCCTGCCACAGAGAACCAATAATTTCAATGCTGCTATTTTTGACATTTTCAGGCCAACGCTTCATCATCAGGACTCTCATCTGCTCCAGAGGTGTGTGTGATAACATCTTTGAACAGATTGATTAGAAAAATAGGTTAAATAGAAAGAAAATGGCATCTACCCAGCCTGGTCTGGAGGGTTTTAGTTATGAGAAGAGGTTTGATAAATTTGTTTTCACTGGAAAGACAGAGGCTGAGGGCCAACCTGATAGATGTCCACAAAATTATGAGAGGCAATAGATTGGGTGGATAGTCAGAGGTTTTTTCCCAGGTCAGCTACTAGAGGGCACAGGTTCAAGGTGAGCAGGGGAAAGATTTTCACACAGAGGGTGGTGCGTGCCTGGAACACACTGCCAGTGGAGGTGGTGGAAGCAGGCAGATTAGCAACATTTAAGGCATATCTTGAATGGGGGGGTGAACAGAGCAATAGAAACTGCATATGGGCAATAAGTAATGGGTCTAAATAAGGTGTAGGAATTAGCACAGGCTTGGTGGGCCGTAGGGCCCGGTCCTGTGCTGTATAGTGTTGTAAAGTGGAAAATTGCCCAAGTATGTCCTGTACACAAAAAGCAGAACAAATCCAACCCGGCCAATTACCACCCTATCAGTCTACTATTGATCATCAGGAAAGAAACAGAGGACATCACTGACTGCATTATCAAGCAGCTTTACACAACAGCCTGCTCATTTGTGCACAGGTTGAGCTTTGACAGGACCGCTCAGCTTCACAGATTCTATCATTGCCTTAGATCAAACATGAAGTTTCAAACAAGAAATTGAATCCCAGAAATAAGTTGTGATTTGCTGTCTTTCATATCAAAGCAGCACTTGACCGAGTATGGCGTTAAACAGCAAGATTAAAGGGAAATCAGAGAGAAAAGTATCCACTGTTAGGAATCATACTTAGCACGACAGAAAACCAGATTGTTTTTCAAGTCAATTGTTCCAGTCTCAGGACATTGGTGCAGGAGTCTCTCAGGGTAGCGCCCTTTAAACCCAACCATCTTCAGCTGCTTCATCAATGACCTCCCCTCTATCATTGGGCTGATAAGTGGCAAATAATGCTTGTGCTACGAAAGTGCCAAACAATGACAGTTTCAAAGATCAGAGAGTCCAACCACTTCCTTTGACATTCAACAGCGTTACCATTAACTGAAACTCCCACCAGTGGCATTCTGGGGTCGGCATTGAGCAATGTGACTAAAACAGCTGCTCCTCACTCGTAGCCAGTTCACTACTACCAATAGAGTCATACAGCACAGAAACAGACCCTTCAGTCTAACTCATCCGCACTGACCAGACATCCCAATCTGATCTGATCCCATTTGCCTGCATTTGGCCCATATCCCTCTAAACCCTTCCTATAAAGTTCCTGAGTAGATTTGTAGCTTGGGTTGTGGATGTTGTGGTTGGTTGGTTGTGGTTGGTTTAAAAGGCATCTGGGGACATGGGTAGGAAGGGTTTTGTGGTTGGTTGGCTCGCCGAGCTGGTTCATTAGTTTGCAGACATTTCATTACCTTGCTGCTTGGTAACATCATCAGTGCAGTCTCCGATGAAGCACCATTGTGTTTTCCTGCCTGGTATTTAAACTCTGGGGTCCGTTGGATTTGATTACCTCATTTCCAGTTTTCCTTCACAGTGGTGTATATTATAGGGTCTAATTTGTTGATGGCCTTCTTGGTGGAATTCCCGTGCTTGTCTCTGTTTGTCCTGTCCTAGGATCCCAATCGATGATGTTACCCAGTAGGGTAATGAAACGTCTGCAAACTAAGGGACCAGCTCGGCGAGCCAACCAACCACAAAACCCTTCCTATCCATGTCCCCATCCAGATGCCTTTTAAATTTTGTAATTGTACCTGTCCCCACCACTCGCTGCACAAAAAGGTTACTGCTCAGGTCTTTTTTAAATTTTTCGCCTCTCACCTTAAACCTATGCCCTCAGTAAACACTGACGTGAAATATTTTGTTAGAAAGTGGTTCTGTGCCAGACCTTAGCAGGAACTAAAGCAATTCCTAAATTTAAGAAGGGATGCAGAACGGGTCCAGTGAATTATAGACTAGTCGGCTAACAGTAGTGGTGGAAAAAACAAAATCCTTACTTAAAAGGAGAGAAAAATAGACCATATAGAAATGAGAAATAATCTAATGAATCATTAGCATGTTCTTAAAAGGAAAATTTGCCTGATGAACCCTATTGAATTTTTTGAGGAGTTAACATTGAGTGGAGACAATGGGAAGTAGTAGACGTAATTTATCTGACTGTTCCAAATGCCTTTGATAACGTGCCCCAAAATAGGCTAATGAATTGGGCCAGAGAATGGGAAGTTAGGGGACAAGTGACAAAATGGATTGCCAACTGGCTTCAACGTTGAAAGCAGAGAGCGGGAATAAAGGGAAGTTATTCAGAGTGTGAGAAGATAGGAAGTGGTGTTCCACAATGAGCAGTGCTAGGCCACTGCTTTCACCATTTACAATTCTAACACAGAAGTCAAAAACGCAAGTTATAAATTTATGGGTAACTCCAAATTTGGATGATGGTCATACTGAGGACGATTCCACAAATTATAGAACGATATTAAAAATCAGCAGAATGGGCAAATAATTGGAAATGAGGTTGAACACAGATAGTACTAGGTTGTCCAATTTGGTGGGAAGAATAAGGAAGTCACTTGTTATTTGGAACGTGTGAGTCTAGGTGGAGGAGGGAAACAAAGGGATCTCAGACAAATACGCCAGTCACTAAAAGTTGTCCCCCAGGTTGTTCATTTTGGAAGGGAGGGCAAAAACAATATTATTTAAATGGAGAAATACTGCAGAAACCTGCATCACAAAGGGACTTGGGTGACCTTGAGAATGAAACA